CGATATTTTCCCTCCGTTTGGTTCGCGTCGATATATAGATTCGAGTGGCAAAGGATGTCGATGGTTCTCGGCTCGAGTCAAGTAACCATTACGTGGCAGGTCCCGGAGGATATCAAAGCTGGTGAATATCGTATTAGGCACAACGGTTACTATCGTTACATCCTTGGTGGCATCTTCCCTTACTACGGCGTGTCCAACCATTTTCAGGTAAATTGAAAACAGTTGATATTGAAAATCTCGTTCTTTTTTTTTTCCAATTTTAACAAAAACGAAAACGTATTTTGACTTGAATATGAAACCGTTTGTTTCTTTCCAGAATATTTTTTATTTTTTCTTTTTTTTTTAAATTTGAAGTTTGTTTATTTCTTAATTAACTTTTTATCAAATAAATTTTAAATTAAATTAATTTTTCTCTGAGAAATTACAGTAATGGATTCGAAGAGTTGAATTAACGATATAAAATTTGATAAAGTGAATTAAAGTTAAACTTTACATTAAACTTTTATCTCAAGTTCAAGTTTCGTTCCATTTTTTTTTTTTTTTCAAGATAAAACGATATCCTTGAAAACGAGCATTAGAAAGAAATATAAAAATAAAATTTCCATCCATAAATTTTCCAGATTTTTAACAATTTCAACGATCTTATACGATTCTATCTAACGTTTCGAAATTTATGAATTTCATTTCAGGTTGTAAGCACCGAGTCGAGCTGTTGTAGGCGACATTATTATGAATAAATTAAATAATACCACCTTACTTTTGTCGAATGAAATGCTTACGCTTAATTGGTGACTGAATTCAGCCAATAATTCAGTAATAATAGCTATACGATAGCACGAAAATATCTCGTATTTCCTCATTTTGTACAGTGTTGTATTATAGTAACATATATAATAACATATTGACGTGTGATCTCCTTAATATATAGCCACATATATCGATAGGATTTTAATTAAGTTTAATTAAGATTAATAAACGAATAATCATGCGTTATTATATCTAAGTCAATTGTCCATCGTGATAACGCGAATAAAAGGATAATTTATTCAAATATACGTGTACATTTATTTATTACAAATTATATAATAAAACTTATATCATTATACAATGATCATATAAAAATAAGATAAATTATAGAAAATTAAAACAGATGTTGTAATTGGAAAAACAAAGTTTCCAATAATATACTCATTTTCCATATCACAAGATAATTAATTACATTAACTACATTCAAAATAATTAACTACAATAGAAAAGTATCTTGGATTCTTTTGATTTTAATGATATTATATTTCATTATTAAAATTTTATTATTTAATAAATCAATATTTATACATATTCTTTTAAAGGAAAATCATAGAGAAACAAGTGAAATTATCTTCGAAAACTGAGGATAATTTTATGCACTTTTGAGTCCAAGATTTAAGAAATTTTCTAGGGATTTTCTTTTCTGGTATTAAATTTTATGATACAAGTTGCATATACTCATGTTACTTTTTCATATTGAAGATGAAAGACGAAGCTTCTTAAGAACTTATAAAGCTTTTTACAAACAATTGCTTCATATCTTGAAACGTGTTTGGATAAAATTGTCAATCTTGGTCAAGGTTAGTATAAAACTTTTTTCTATTTCACTTCTTATATGACTTCAATTTTATAAATTTATTATTTTTTTAAATTCATAAGTTTCTTTTTAAATAGATTAAAAAATTAAGTTAAAATTAAATAATATTAAACATACAAAATGTTATAATAAAATATCAAGAAATCTATATAAATATCCGTGTTTAATTAAAGTGTGTCAAAGATGAAAAATCGAGATGATGCGGAAAGAAGGGAAATTTTTCAAAATGAAATTCAATTCGCGGTAAAAATGAAAGAGGGAAGCTTTGCCACGAGCTAATTAAATTCATTGAATTAAATATTGCATATCAATGGAATCAATTTCCAATGGAATCAATTTGTTAGATCCTCTTCTACATGCAAACTAGAGTTTCAATAAAATTGTTTTTGAAATAAATTGATTCGATACTAAGAGAATTTCCTCATCGTTTTTTCAAATTCTCTTTTTTTCAAGTTAATTAATTAATCAAATCGATATTAAAACTTTGATATTGCATTTATTCTATAATAATTTTTCTTTTTTATATGTATCGTATAATATACCATAAATATTATATTTCTGAAATAATTATAGGTTTATGATATCTTATTACACCGATACAAGTTTCTCGAACGAATAAAAATTATATGACTGTTCTCTTCCACGTGTTTCATTCTCATTCATCTTACGATATATCCCGTTCCTGTCCACTATCTTTTACGATAAGAAAAATGAGTCGTGGAATACAGTTACATGAGAATCATTCAATCAGAAGAAAATAGTTTTTACAATAACCATCTTCACGAGATTATTTAATCTCACGTTGAAGGCATATAAATATTAATTCAAATTCGTTTATCGAAGAAAAAATTATTAAAAATTTCGAGATTATAATTTTTTTTTAAATAATAATAATCGTTTCAAGATACTTTTTTTACATTCGTTATTATAAAAGGAATTATTGTAAAGGAAAAAGTTAATTGATGATCATGGCTGGAAGCGCCATATTTACATATACACGAATATTTTTAACCACGTTTCATTTATTTTTATATACGATTATTTCTTTAACGATTGTAAAATCAGAATATGTTAATGGTAATCGTGCATATTCTGTATAAATATATCAAATCTTTTCTTTAATGTATTGTACGTAATTGTATATAACTTCGTATTTTGAACAATTTTCCTTTGTTTATAATATTTCAATAAAAAAATTTTTAAAAAGAGAAAATGAGAGAAAGGAAAAATGTGATGTATCTGTAGATGATCACGAGTGAAAAAAAATTGCTTTTGAATCAAACTTTATTAACAGAATTCGGGAAGCAAGAAAGTGCATTTAACGAGGAATGCGATCAATAATTTCGTATGTCGAAATTAAAGTGTAAAGTGAGAAGATTTGATCCCCATATGATTGTGGAAAATATTTTTATCTGAGAAAATTTTCTTAATATTTATTTTATTAAAATTCTATTAGAATTAAATTCTGATAAATCAAAAAAGTCTCATCCTCGGATCATTTAAATGATCTCACACAAGCCACTAAAACTCAACGAACCATAACTCAACCAAGAAGTAGCCAAGAAGCAATTATGTCTTTCGTATCGACGATACTCTCACCCCACTAAACAAAAAGTTCCAACGAAGAAAAGGGAGAGACAAACTCTTTCGAATCTCGAGAATGGAACGTCTTATCCAGGAATTAAATGACATGGACAGAATTCGATATTTGTGAACAGGAGTTCCGCAAAGAAATTCGTTTTTGTGAAAAAAAAGAAAAAAAGAAAAGAGGGAAAGAATGAAAGAATGGGGAGGAAGAAGGGGATATAAAGAAGAGATTGTTTTCCACGCGAAATGAAGCGAATACCCGACAAGAGTTGGAAAAGAGGATTGCATCTTTCGAATGTTGAGGAGGGTGTCGTTTGAAAGTTCAGCGTCGCTTTGACTGTCTTCGAAACGATTGCTTTTGAAAACCACCAGTGTGTAGAATAAAAGTACAAGATTAATAGCCTGCATTGAAAATGCAATATTATAATTTGTATTGCATTAAAATTTCCTGTATATCTTTGATGTATTAATAATTTGTATGAAAATTCAATTCCTTCCAATCAAAATTCTCAATCACGATGAGTCGAATGTATTATTCTAAAAAAAAAAAAGTGTTCGTTATACTTTGAATAATTATGACAAGAAAATTTCCTTTTTGTCTCTCGCAAAAATGAATTAATGAAATAAAGAAAGGAATAAACAAAATTATAAATTCAAATTTTGTAATTAATAATTACGATTTTATATCGCATTAATAAATTCGATATCTCGGATAAAAACACACACACACACACACATATACAAGAGGAAGAACAAAACAACATCTATCTTTCCAATAGAGGAAAAAAAAGAAAAAAGTATAATTCCCGATCACTTTTTCGCAAACTCGTCCATTCATCCCCAAACTCGAGCGAACTCGCATAAATTCTCGTCTCATCCCCACTTCTCTTCCCCACTTTATCCAACAAATATATTCATCCCGATCTCAAAAGAAAAAAAAAAGAAAAAAAGAAACGAAAGAAGAAAAAACGCGAGGAAGAAAGGAATTTCCATTTCTTTTCTTTTTGTTCGAGTAAAAATAGCGGAGCATTTTAGCGGGAAAAGGTGGAATAGAGGAGAGATGATGGATGAGGGAGGTGGTCAGGACACGGGAAGAGGAACGATGGAAACCACGAGGATGTTCTTCTGCCGATTCGAGGTGCGCAGAAGCGGTGCTCGGCGTCGTTTATCGCGACGAGGGCAAACGCAGTCGTGATCCGCGCGGCATCCGTGCCGGTTCGTCGTTTCGTTGTGTATCCACTCGGCCAATTTCCTTGGATCGTCGCAAATTTCATTGAAGAGAGATCTGCAATTTAATTGGAGGAAGATTGATGTTTTGGTTCAACGAGAAAGGAGTCTAAGAACTCGAAGTTTTTGTGTTTTCGATGACGAAACGTCGTTCTTGAAGAATTCGAAGATTGGAGATTTGAAAAAAAAATAAATAAACTTGAAATTGCAGATATTTTGATCCGAAAAATTGGAAGACGTTCTCTAGATGATGAAACAATCGCGTTTTGTGAATTCTTGTGAAATTTCTCAAGAGGAAATTGAACAATGTGAAAAATAGGGTACAATTGTTTTGCTATATTCAAAGAAGAGTTTGGAGATCAAGAAAATTAAAGAGATTGGAGGATATTCTATTCTATTTCTCAAAGAAAGATTGGAAAATCGAAGAATCATTGAAAGACAAATTTCAAAAAGAATTTGAAAATCAAAAAAGGAAAAAGGATTAATTGAAGATCGAATATTTAATCTGATAGTTAGTGACAATTTAAAAGTGAACAAAATTAAGGAATCTTGTGCAATGTATAAGAAGAAAATGAAAACTGTACTTAAAAAATCCTATTCCTAAAAAGAATCCTAACAATCCTATTTCCATTCCCAATCAACCATCAAAATCTTACAATGCAATCAGACTAAATCAATCCAAATAACATCACAAAAGTATGTCCATCCAACGTCCACCAGAGTATCACAAGGAATGATATCCAATCCATATAACCAAATACCTAAAACGAATCCAACCCAAACCTCTACCTAAATCGCTCTCCAATTATCAGCTCTTCAAACGTGATCAAATCGCCACCAATCCAAAGTATGTCCACATCCACAGCACTCTCCACGACATGTAATGATCAATAATGGATCGCCTAACAACCATCCTCCCAAACGTGTCCAATCTCGCCCTCTCCTCCCTTCAAAACTTCTCCATCCCCTACACGAACAACACGAACAACGAAATAAACTCGTCCCCCAATTCAGTCCCTCACAGAGACTCATTGCACATCGTAATCCCGGTGACCATAATCTACGTGTCCATCTTCTTGACGGGGATAATCGGGAACATAAGCACGTGCATAGTGATCGCGCGCAACAAGTCAATGCACACGGCGACCAACTATTATCTGTTCAGCCTGGCTGTGTCAGACCTGTTGCTGCTCGCCTCAGGCCTCCCAGCAGAGATCTACATGGTGTGGTGCAAGTATCCCTACATATTCGGCGAGGGTTTCTGCATTCTGCGTGGGTTAGCCGCCGAGACATCGACAAACGCCTCTGTCCTCACCATCACGGCGTTCACCGTCGAGAGATACCTGGCCATATGTCACCCATTTTTGTCGCAAACCATGTCCAAGCTGACCAGGGCGGTGAAACTGATCCTCGTCGTATGGCTGGTGGCTCTGTCGTTCGCCTTGCCCCAGGCGTTGCAGTTCGGCCTCGTGCAACACAAGGCGCATCCGGAGGTGGTGATGTGCACTGTGAAGAGGATCCTGCTCCAACACTCCTTCGAATTGTCCACCTTCCTCTTCTTCGTCGTTCCTATGAGCCTCATCACCGTGCTGTACGCTTTGATCGGTTTGAAGTTGAGGAAGTCGAACATGATGAAGAGGAGCAGGGGGAGAGACGTGGGAGGAAGTTGCAGGCATCAGACTGGAAGGTCGTCGAGAAGAGTGCTGAAGATGCTTGGTGAGTTTGATTTGGTAATTGTTCATTCATTGTTTTGGAATGTTTGTATTAAGAATATAAGGAATATATATTTAGCAATTTATATTATTGCTACTCGAGTGGATACTTGATAGACGATACTTGATGATTTTTGATGATATTTCTGTGAAATGTCTATTCGTATGATGAAATCAGTCTGTTTTTAGATTAAATTATAACACTGAGATCAAATTAGAACCTTCGATTGTTTTATAAGTTGTTGGTGCTGAATGAATTTGTGTTTGGTAACGAAGTTAATTATAATCTTATTTATGAAAAGGAAATTTATAATTTACAATTTATAACTTGTTGGTTCAATAATAATATTAATTGATAGAGATTAAATTACGTGGTACAACGTTTAAAATAACGTGCAAATATAGTTGATTTAAAAGATAGAGGCATTATGTTATATTTAAAATTTGCAAAAGAATTGTTCTATATCAAATAATTTTATTATTATCAGACAAGAAATTCGATATATTTTCTCGATAAAAAAGTCAAGATTATTGATTCGAAATAATTATCGAGTATCAATGAGTTGTTTAAGAAGTAAAAAGAAATAGAGTTCGATCGATTTTTCCAAGGAAACGATTTTTCAGTGTGAAGAAAGGGAAAAAAGTATCTTTGAAGGATTGAGGAAATTAAGACAACACCACTTAACTTCGAGTCACCCTTTTCCGGAAATAAAGATCTGTAAAAGGTAATGGGAAGAAACGGAATGTTTGTTTAAAACGAAATTACAGAATAATAATAATAATTATTTATTCGAGAGTGTTTTAAAAAAACTTTTCAATTTTTCAAATTGCAGAAAGTTTGAATGGTCGTTTAATTTTTGAAAATTTGTATGATCAAAAAACATTTAATAAACATGATTTCTTCGGAATCATCAACATTGATTATTTTCGAATGGCAAAAAATTCAAAATTATTAAAATTATCAAGACATCCGAGCTAGCAAACAAATTTCAAAAGGAAAAAAAAAAAGAAGATGCATAAATATTGAAATCCTGCCTTGAAATTTAACAATCGAGCCATTTACTAATATTTTCGTGGAATATCACCAGAAGAAGAGAATTTTACAAATTACACGATCCTCGAGGAATTCTGTTTGTTATTCATTCGGTATGAGCTTTTGGGACAATTTTTAAGAAACAAAGACGGAATAATAAATTTCTAAATACGCTATCATCAACATTGATATCGTCAACGTTGATAATTTTGAAAATTTTGTCCTTCTTTATGAAAAAAAACCGGAAGCATCGCACAAACTACCAACTATACATTTCAATCGATCATATCACGATGACAAGAAGATCATCTGAGCTAATATAATATTTCAGAAATCAGCAGAATATTTCTTATAATGATAAATTTTCTTTATTTTGTAATAAATGCAATGAAAATGAAAAGAAAACTTGAAAATTGTAAAGTAATAATTTTTTATTATGTTTATTACAAATAAATATAGTCGATAAATATTCCGTTTCTGTAAAAAAATTAAAGAGAAAATTAAACGATAAAAATTAATCGAATTAACAATTAAATTTTCAATAAATTTTGCAATCATAATAACTAAAAAATTCATTCCGATCGTGCGATAAATTTTCGAAGAAGAATTCGTGGATCAACTATGTAAATATGTATATGCATTTTTTATAAATTTTTTTTTATTTTATCACACTTGTTATCGAAGATAAAATCAATAATATATCGATTCCTAGGTAAGGAAGAATGTTATATATATGCATAAAAAAAAAGATTTTGAAATAAACGATATATGGAAATGAGATTGGTAAAAATATCAATGGATGCTGTTTTTTGCAAAACTTTGAGATTCCTGTCAAATCGATCTCTTCGTACATAAGAATTTATTTTTAATATTTTCTCGTTGAAAAGTAAAAAAAAAAAAAAATAATACAAGAGAAGAAATATGTATATATTTGCTTTAATTATGTCAATTATCGTTTAACGATCATTTTCGATTTGCGTCGTAATAAATTATATGTACATCTAATAAAAATTCTGATATTACTTGCAATAATATATGCTTAATAACATATGGAATATTTATTTATAAATTTAATTATACCGTTCAAGGATTTGAACTATTTCTCAAATAGATTATATTAATATCAACGTGTTAGTAATAAGATCGTACATATCGTAAAATAAAACTTACTTAAATAACAAAAATTTATGGATAAATTTGTTATTTATAATTTAGAAAATTCGAACAAATCGAAAGAATCTTATTGATATTAAAATTTTTAATAAATAAAGGAAAAAGATAATAATTATTTAATTTTTTAGGACCAAGATACATAAAGTCAAGAAAAAAATTCGGATCACAAATAATTTTATAAAATATTTTCTTGTCATCGATATTCTTTGATCGAGCTAATTTATTATTAGTAATTATCGTTTGTATCGATGAGAAAATTTTCAACGAAATCGTGAATTTACAATCGAGCCACATGTATATCACAACTCGTTATAAATTCAAGATTTGTTCTATTTCCATAAACTTCCAAAACGAATTCATAATTCATAATATGTCTTTGTTGTTATTTATTTCAATTATTTTAATTGAATCACACTATAGAATATACGAGAATAAAATGTGACAATTCAACAAAGAATCAAACAAGAAGAACAAGAAGAAACAAGAATGAAACAAAGAAATATTTCGTTTCATCTCTTCTTTCTCTTTTTCTATCTTTTTCATTTCATCTCTTTCTTTAAAAAACTTTAAACCTGCTTATAACTCAAGTAAATTTTTATACATAATTTTTATATTTTATTTTAGAAATGACTTAGAGATATTCCACAAATATATTAACACTTTGTACATGGTTGAAATGTTATTTGAGAATGCGTGTGCATCAACACTGCGTATGAATCTAATTCATCTGTCATGCACGAGTAGGTCACATCATCAAACTTCATTAAACTTCGCAATTATACATATGTACACGCGTATATTTGAACATGGAAGTTTCATATAAATAGCTCAGAAACAACAATGCTTCTGCACGTTGCATCGATCTTATCTTTCGGTATAATTCTGGCTGATACCATCGAATTGGCTTCTGCCCCGGAAACTGATAAACAATGAATAAAAATAATATAAATAATTTCTTTTCTTTAGTCTATAATTAGATGATAATCTATTTGACGAAAGGTTAAAAGGATATAATGGCCAAAGAATGTCAGAAATTTGCTGTTATCTTATTTTGTTGTATATCATTATCATCGATTAGACAATGTACTGAAACTTCCAGAACTTCGTTGAATTTATAATAAATACGAGGATTTTATCAATTTTCGTTCATATAAGATAAAAGGAATTATAACGATAATTTAATAATTAGAATTATTCGATTAATTTCGTTATTTTAATTCTTTTATCGAAACTTTCAAAAAGAATTTTCCTTTCCATCATCCCTTCGTAAATCTTACTGTGGAGATATAACATTCTTTTATGATCAAACTTAAGAAACTTCGAGAATACACAAACAATAAGAAATGTATAAAAAATAGTTCGATCAAAGTTTTTCCTTTCATCGAGCGATTTCTTCGTCGGAAGAGTATCCGATATCAACTACCCTGCAATCACTCAAACAATAGAGGAATCAAAGTGCAATTGTATCGAGGAAACGTCTTTTTTACAAGTAAATTATAGTTTTAATGAAAAAGAACTCTCATCTCGCAGTACAACTTTCTCGAAATTAAGAAAAAATAAATAAAGAAACTGCATAACAAAATTATTTATTTCACTACTTGGAAAAAATTCGTGATAAATTCCATTCTTTTGAAAAGAAAACATGAAGAGAATAAAAAAAAACTGGGATTAAATATGAATATAAAATTTTGTATGATTAAGAACAAAATTCTCGCCGTCCTTGATGATAGCTGTAATTAATTAATGTGAGATTGGAATAATTAAACCAGAGATTAATAAGGAGAAACAGCGAAATTCGTTCCAAAGTGATAATTGTATCGATCGTGAATACGAGCAAAAATTTTGCGGTGGATAAGTATAATTGCAGTTACTGTTTCATTGTATCACGATAAATGATATATCTTTGGAAGGCTCATTATTCCTGAATGTATCTCGAATAAAGGAAAAGCATTATGCAAAGCTTCTTATTCAAAGAATTAAAATATAACGATGAATGGATAATAAATAGAAAATCTAATTATAAAAATATCTTAAATTTATTATTCGAATCAGGAAAGAAAAGAAGTATCTTGACTGACAATCGATTAACAATGACTAATCATTGACTAAATTAACTGGCCATTGACCGTTGGTGTCTGTTATGATGATATAATTGGCGATTTGATGTAATCATTACTCATTGACCTCTGACAAATTTGGTTTGATTTATCACTGACTGACAATTAACTGATTGAATTGATTATTGACTTATCAATGATTATCCATTGATTGATCATTGATAGATCATTGAGTGATAAGTTTATTCAAAATAATTGTCAAAAAAATCAAAAAATATCACAGTGATTATTTCCATTTTTCAATCAAAATCTTAATTTATAAATACTATAAATAAAACATCTCTTCTGAATTTTCTATTATATTTAAAGTTGATGACTAGAGTTTGAAGATAATACTAAGTGCAAAAATATTAAAATCTTCCTGTAAAGTTCATGAAATCAATTGGAATAGAATTCAAGATGCACTTGAAATTAGGAACAACTTGTTAATGGATGTTACTTGTTAATATTTCATTAACATAACTAATTTATCGTAAATATAATCATGGGTTCTGACAAATTGACGTCTGAAAAAATTAAAAATATATTCAAGATGTATTCAACGTGAAAATAAGTATTGTAATATGATTTATAAATCATTCGTTTTCTTCATTTTTTCTGATATTAATAGAAATTAATAAGATTATGTAAGTGATATCTGATAGGCAATAATGACAATAATGGCAACTCTAAGAAAACTCG